TATATATATATATATATATAAAATTAAACTAATTAAATATCTAGTGATTAAATACAAATTTAAAATTAAAGGGATTTAAAGAAAAATAGTAACATCGCTCTAATTGTTTTATAATTTCATACCTCGCTGTAAAGTTGCCGGTTGAAAGAACAAAAGCGGCCGGCAGTGATTTGCAATGGCGTTCGAGCACGACACATGATGATCATTAGCGATCTCGCTTCATGCACTGACAAGTTGTACCAACTGCAGTCATATGCCGCGTATGCTATTTTCGTACTCTGGAATGTCAGATTCAAAAGATTCCAAAGGAAACATGAATCGTAGCTAACGACAAAATGAAGATGCACTCACGCAAAATATGAAATCGCAATCAGAGATTCTATGTATGAATTTGAAAAACCCTCGAAAAATCCTTAATTTTCTTTATTGACAAAGCAATCTTTTTTCTTCTATTTTGGATTAGCTATTTTTTTATATATTGTTTTCTTTGACATGTATTGTAAATTAAATACTTAAAAGATCTTTCTGATTTATTGAAAATGCATAGTTTTTGATTTTCCGACTTACATTGCGAACACATAAATTAAAACTTATTCAAATAATAAATAAATTAATGTCTATTTTTATAAGATTTTAAAAGTTTACAAAAATAATGCATATTTTTCAAAATAATTAATTAATTAACAATTATTATATATATATATATATATATATAAAACATATATATAAAACATTTCCGTCAGATTGATTGGTTCACCAATCTTCTGATTGAATGATTCGTTATGCACTTGGAAGAAATAGTTAACTAATTACTAGGCAAAAGAAACAAAAAAATGATGAAAAGAAAAAACATATTTCACTCTCGCTTGTTAACATTCAAAGCGTCATGCGGATTATCTTAATATGAAAGCGTGTATCATAGTTATTATTAACGACTGCATTATTCTGAAATCTTTGTTATGACAAAACAAATGAGATCACTTTCTAAGATAATATTTAACGTTAGAAAATGTTAATATTTCATATATATTCATCTATTAAACATATTTTATTGATTGATCGATATAACAGTATTATTCGATCAATACAATAATATCAATACGAAATAATTCTTATATTCGTCTAAAAATTTAGTCTTGTTCTTAGAAATATAATCCGAGATATTTTCGATATATATCTATTTCGGGATTTACATCAATAAATAAATCAATAAATTATCAATAAATAAATTGTCGTATTACCTCGACAAATAATTTTTCGCCAATGTAACAATACAGATACAATTGCAGCATTATATAAACCAGGTAGATTGTAAGAAAAGAGAATTGAGAGAAGAATACTTCATCCATTTTGTCCATTAATGACTACAAAACAACGAGGAATCGTGATACCAGCGGGATTTTTTTATCTTTTTTTTTTTTATTTATTTACATCAAAATTGTATCTCTCCATTTTCTTTTTTATCACTTACCATGAACACCTGCAAACACTGAAAACAAAGTTGCAACGAGCATCCCATCATTTGCAGCAGAAGCATCATGTTGAAACAGTCTTCGATCGTTTCTGCAAATCTTACGGAAAACGCCATTGTCAAGACAAGCGTGTCTAATAAAATTTTATAAATCACATATATATTTTCAACAATCATAATATCGTGTTTCATGTGTTCGTGTTTTTCCGTAGCCTAAGATCTTGAAGTAACTCAGCATTATCATGCCTGCGACAGACACGAGATAAATAATTATCCCCAAGAATAGCAATTAACCACGCGATAATCCGCACTTTTATCCGTCTTTTACCCGTCGTCGATCCTCCGATCGATCTCACCTGTTGAGATATTCGTGCCTCCTCACGACAGTCCTCAGCTTCATCTGGAACTCCGCCGTTGTGTCGGCGCGCAGATTCGTTAGTTTGCAACGTAGATTCGAAAGCTGGCCGCACGTATAAAGCACTAAGATGGCGACGAAGGTGTCCACCACCGTGTAACTATTCGCCGCGTATATCATGCCCAGGAATTGACCGAAAAGTGTCAGCTCGTAAAAAGGGCTGCTGGTCACATTGTACGGATGGTACGCGCGGAACAATATCATGTGACCGGTTTCTCGAGCCTGCAAGTATCGAAACACGACGTAGGCTATGAGCACAAACTGAACGAGCACGACGCTGCTTATCGCCAGCTTCCTGGTGAAGTTCGCGATGTCCGACATCGTCTTACGGTCCCGTTTATCCTCAATTACGCTCCAGTCCTTCGCCATACACGATACAAGTGTCTTTAGGTCTTTTACAAAATGTTAAAAAGGATTTTTAGGTCCTTCATAGAATGTTAAAAAGGATTTAAATTTCACGATTAAAAAGAATTCCAAATTATAAAGCAATTATAAAGCCGACTAAATTATTTTGAAATCTCAGAGAGATTTCAAAATATAAAATACGTTTTAATTAGAAGCGTGAAGTATGTTTGAGAAGTTGTTATTTAAACAAATCTTAATGATCGTGAATTATTATAGAAGGAATAAGCTTTGAAAATGTTTTATTACGTTTAGTCCATCTATTATATATAAAAATGTTAGAGAACAATTGCTTTCGAGCAGAGAAAACATTGAGTTTCATTCTTCTTGCTAGAAAATTTATAAAAACACTTTTGCAATCTAAGCTGTTTACGAAGACATTAAACTATTATATGCATACTATATAGATAGAAAATTGAGATTAATATCTCTACTGTATAAAAAGTAATATATTTACGTGCACCGTTAGACCAGAACATGATGGTTTTCAACAGCGAGATCGAAATCGTTATGTTTCCCATGGCTAAGTTGTCTACCACGGAGTCAAAGTCGCCCCAGATGAATGGCAAATTGGCTGATTGTGGTGCACAGCAGAAGCAAAGCATCGCTAGAATGGCAATTATCGCTGTGTAACTCGAAGCTTGATTGAGATTTCTGTTTTCTGGCCAAATTCCTATAAATGTCATGATATAACGATTCCAACCGTACGCGTACTCCGCATCTGCCTTTTTTAAGTAAAAATAAAATGTTAGTGAGAAAAAAAATTTTTTTGTAATTTTATATCATTTTACGTATACAAAACGCTTTTCCTATCATAATTTTGATAATTTTGTATTTTTACGAAACTTTTATCTTCTTCTCTCCTAAAGAAATAATACTTCCGTAAAAGAAATCGATATATTAAAATTTTTATGCATATTTACTGTTAAATTTTTCTATTCAAATGTTCCTTCCCAAATATTGATTAATATAAATACGTATTAATAAAATATTTCTCCTTTTGCTTATTTTACAAATACAACATCTAGATAAATTCAACAAAAAGCATCTGTTGATTCTTTGTAAACAAATTTACAAAATATGACGAACACAATTTTATTGCATATTAAAGGTAGCAAATTATATCTAATACACACGTTAAAAAAAAGAACGTTAACGTGTAAGAAATATAATAATTCTTCTATTAAATAAAATAAAAGTTAAATAGAAATAAATAAATGATTCTTTATAAAATAACATGAGAATTAGGAAATATTTAATTCTAAAAAGAACTTAGACAAATCTAAATCGACCTCGATCGACATCTCTCGAGGCTTACGCGACAACGACGTTAAAGTAACTGAAAGGACTCATCTTTTAAAAGCGCATGCGAGTCTTGACGACGCATGCTCTTCGAGAACATTGTACATATAAGAAGTAAGCTATTGTATGAGAATATACAATAATGCTCGATGTATAATTATATCTCAATTATTATATAATCTGGAAAGACTCAAAATATTATTAATATTTTAAACATCCCTTTTTAATGAATTGCCCTGATATTCTCTCTAAAAATTTCTTATTCTAAATGCTAAATAAAGTTAAGAAATTTAATTGATATTATTAATGAAAATACGTAATGATATTATTTTTGTTTATTAAGTTTATTAAGTTTAAGCAAATAAATTTTTAAAAATCCGATTGTTTTACATTTCTAAAAAAAGCACTCATACTGTTGCTAAATTACGAATTCTTTTAAATTTTTAATTCATCAACAGTATATTGATTCTTCCATATTTTTGCCATTAATAAATAAAAAATAATTGTAATCTCAAACAATATATGTATTAATATTGAGAACAATTCATTCACTATTCACTTGCAACGCAAAGGTTCCCTCTGTTGAAGAATTTTGCAAGTGAATGGCGATGAGGAACGCTTGAGGCTCTCATGGTCACTAGAATATATTCTTCAACTATCGATTGATGTTAAAAATAATGTTAAAAATAAGCTTTGAACATTACACTACTGTTTCTACACAAATTATAAATATTATTATAAATATAAAAGATATAAATAATTATATGTTTTATCTGTTACCAATATTTTTACGAAACTTTTATCTTTTTCTTTCCTAAAGAAATAATACTTCTGTAAAAGAAATCAATATATTAAAATTTTTATGCATATTTACTATTAAATTTTTCTATTCAAATGTTCTTTCCCAAATATTGATTAATATAAATACGTATTAATAAAATATTTCTCCTTTTGCTTATTTTACAAATACATCTAGATAAATTCAACAAAAAGAATCTGTTGATTTTTTTTAAACAAATTTACAAAATATGATAAACACAATTTATTGCATATTAAAGATAGGAAACATTATATTAAACATTATATTCTTAGTATTGCAAATTAATTTTATACTTTGTTTTATATTTTTGTTTAATAATAATTGCTTTACAAGAATTATTATTTTCGTTCGGTTACAGTAAGTAATACAGAAAGATAACCGAGCGAAGTTCTTACAATCTGAAAGAAAATAATAATTCAAATTATATCTAATACACACGTGCATAATGTGTGTGTGTGGTGCGGTGTGTGTGTGTGTGTGTGTGTGTGTGTGTGTGTGTGTGTGTGTGTGTGTGTAATTGTAATCAATAATTGTAATCAATAATTGTAATCAATAATTGTAATCAATAAAGATTTTTTTTCGATATTGCAGATATTAGATATTAAATTAAACAATTTATTCTCTATGTAGCCATTATTTTTTACCGTACTGAACATTTGTAAAGAAAATATGCTGAATTTCCCAGCAGTGACACAAAGAGGCCGAGCTGCCGATCTGCGCATGATAAATAGAAGATTTCTCGCTTCTTTTCCTGCCACATTAAACCAGTTCGATTCATATGCAGAAAATCCCATTTCGGTACTCTTAAATATTATTAATTAGTTAATATTTAATAATTTAATTATTTTGTAATACGCGGATGTGAGTATGTCTCTTTTTCAGTTTAATTGATAACAAATGCAATAGATTATTATTATTCTAGATAATTATATTAATTACTTTATAAGTTATAAATTAAAGTTAATTTATAAATCGATGAATCATATATATTGTTTTGCAAAAAAATAACAAGATATAATGAGTAAATTATATTACAATATAATTAGACAACTTACTTGCACGATTAAGTTCTCACCGACGTAACAATAAATATACAGATGAACTAAAATAAATATTACAAAAATGATTAAAAAAATTAATTGGAAAGTCATCGATCCATTTTCTTCTTCCATTATTAATATCTGAAATATTTTGTTACATACATTTTTGTATTATTTATTTTCTGAAAAAAATTTACGTATGTCATTTTGATACAAACAATTTTGCATTAGATAGAAAATTGGATATATAGAATAGAATAGAAAATGTGAAAGAATAATTATATGTTTTCGGTATTACTTACTCTAAAAACCTGGAATCCTTGAAAGCACAATTGTATAGTACAAGAAAGCATCTGTATTAAAAGCACCATATTAAAAGACTCCTCGATCGTTTTTGCAAACCTTAAAATTATTCGAATTATTTATAATAATTATGATTATGATTATTGTGATTAATATTTGAATGTAACTCGGTGGTATTACTCAGCAGGAAGGATTTTAGACGCAATAATAAAAAAAATATCGACACTGGCTCCACCTGCGAATGAATCAATATTATGACGTAACCTTAAAACTTTTGTCTAAAGCATTTTTCCCTATTTTTTTATTTTCCGAGATATTTTGATGTGAAATAAAACACTTTATACATAAATTTAAAAAAAGAAATTACTACTAGACATTTAAGATCCTGCCTGCTAAGTAATTTCACTTATATTGATTTGTTTAATTAATATTTCAGTATCCAGCAATTATCTATCATAATAATAATTATTTTTATAATCTATCTTATACGGTAGACAATTATAAAAAATAGAATATATTTTAAAGTATTCTCATGTTACTCAAACAATACGAACCAGTTTAAATGCTCGTGTCTCTTTACGATTTGCTTCAGCTCACTTTTAAATTCCTTAGACGTTTTCATTCCACCCGTGTCGTTAGCGAGATTCTTGAGTCTGTCGTGTAAGTTTTGGAATTGGCCACAGGTATGGAGCACCAGCATGGAGATGAAACTGTCACTACCGGTGTAAGAAACTGTCGCGCTGTAAGCTGATAGAATCTGGCATACGCAAATCAATTCGAAGATTGGACTTCGAGTAATGTCAAAAGGGAAATAGGCCGTATAAAGCATAGGACGAGCCGTATCGTTTCGTGGAAACTTGGCGATCATCGAAATTCTTAAAACGATGTAAATAGTCACCATGACTTGTGTCAAGATTGTACACCAGATGGATATCTTCCTGACAAGCTTGGCATTCTTCAGCATAATCGTTCTTTCCTCCGATGTTTTTGACGAGTGCCAATCTTGATAGAAGAAGTCGACCAACGGCTTCAAAACTTCTCGGGCAGATGTTTTGGATTTTTGAAAGTGTTCAAAAGGAATCAATTTTATTTGGTTTATTATTAAATATTATTAATTGATAGCTCGTTATTTCGCATGATTGATATTCATAAGAACGAATTTATGAAACAATTATAGAAGATAATCAAAAATATAAAGAAGCAACAAAATTTATTTATTATTGCTGATTCGTAGAAATAAAAATTACAAGTAATAAACAAATAGTTATAACAAATAGTTATAACATAAAAGTAATAACAAATAGTTAACAAATAGTTAATAAATTAGTATATTTGAAAAAATTAAATTTATGAGATGCAGTTATATTTTACAAAAAGTTATTTTTTATATTTTTTAATAATTTTCAGCTTTTGTACCTTTTCTATGACGCCAAATGGTGAATGCTTTCATAAAAGCATTCGCGACTGGGATGTTGGCGGTCGCTAGATTTTCAGTCATCATGTCCACATTACCCCAAATGAATATGAGATTCGCTGATTGCGGAATGCACATAAAGCCTAGCATGAAGAAGCTGGCTACCATGAAACGAAATGAGGAGAGTCCCTTTTGTTTAGAATTTTGTAACGGATCAGGCCAGATGCCGACGAGGTTCAAATTGAATCGATTCCATCCGATCGCAAAATTTAGGTCTATGCAAATCAAACTTGTGTTAAAAGTTGAAAACAAACAAAATTATTTTAATCACTATTTGATATTAATAATGTGTTATTTTAATATAAAAAAATATTGACGTAATTCATAAAATAATACAACATACGAAATTTTTATGTACGTTTTTTATGTTATGAATAATTACAAATTACAACAATATATTTCTTAATTTTTTTAAAACACTTAACATTTAACTGCGCACTATATTTTACAAATTATTTGGTGAATTTTTTTAAACAATCTCGGATCTTCTTCTCTAACGTTTGAATTTAGATATAATTATCTTCAAATGATGATTTTATTATATATTAACAATTAACAATTCACAAGTGTGTATGCGTCTTTTTTCTCCGCACGTACCTTGATCAGCATCCATCGATACTTAACGGATATCGACACTGCAACGACTAAAACATTCTTACGGTCGACTTTTTCCCATCCCTTCTCTCAGGATCACGCATGCTCCGACGCAGAAGGTGATCTACCCTCCGTACGAAAGACTCTAAAGTAGAACTAGAGAAAGCTACTATCTCGTACCGAACACTTCGCAACGTTTTCGATATGTTCGCTTATAACAATTTGTTAACAAACTATATAAATTTTAATCAATATGAATTGTTTATATTTTAAGCAACAATTATTATTTAATTACTTAACATAGGTACGTATTATTTCAATATAACAAAATTAACAATTTTTACTTTTTAAATATCTAATTTAAAAATATCTCCTTAACTCATAATACTAATTTCTAAACAGAAGCGAATGAACAATTTGAGAATAATCGAATAATAATTTGCGCTTGTTGCGCAGAAAAGTGTATTTTTTTAGAAAGTAATATTACAGATAGTACATATAAGCCTGCTTGTTCAATTATTAAAAAATTAATGTAATCACTTATATTAAATTCATTTCATTTTATATTATTTCTCCAGTTTTACTTTCTTTATCTCTTATCGTTAGTAAAAGTATAAGTCCCATTGATGTTTTCAATGCAATTCAAAACATAAAAAATATAATTAAAATATCAGTTATTTATTAATGGTAATCATAACTGAATGTTACGAATAAATTTTAATACAAAATATATACAATAAAAATATATATAACAAAATATATAACTTAACTTAATAACAAATAACAAAAATATATAACAAAATAGAAAAACGGAAACAATATTTAATTTAATAATTACAAAAAGTATATTCTTAGACACACATGGGAACAACAATATATTAATTATATGTCTTAGTTTTTCAAACAATTCCAACGAAAAAATTCCAAATTTCCCAGCTGTCAATCGAAGGGGAACCGTAGATCGATATACAATAAACATTAAAGCTTTCGTGTCTTTCGCTGATAGTTCGTACGACTTGCATTCAAATACGCCATACATTATTTTGGTGCTCTGAAAATAATATTATTGTTCTGCACAAGTCTTATTATTGTACATAATAGTTTTAGCTCAAATGAGTTTTTCGGTTGCGTAGCAATGTGCATAAGTTCGTCAAACCAAGGGAGATATAAAACGAGAGAAAAATTATTCTGATAACAGGCACATGCATATTATATGTTATATGTATCATCTGTGAATAATTAATAACATTAATAACATTTTAATTGTAATTATATTTAATAAAACGATATATAGTGCCAATTTTTGACGCAGTATATTGTGTAATTATATTATAAGAAATTATTAGTAAAAATGTAGTATACATTCAATTTTTTTATTTTTTAAAATATGCAAAATAAAACATATGTATATTTCACTTACCATGAAAACCTGAAAAGTTATAAAATACATCTGAAGACTAATATGTATCGCGACTAATATAAATTGTGTGTATATAAATAACACGAGACTAACTACTGTAGTAGTCGTCAATTGTCTTTGCGTTCCTTGAAAATTCATACATTACTCATTCAATTTTTCTATTCAAATGTTCTTTTCCATTAACATCAATTATTATAAATACGTATTAATAAAATATTTCTGCCTTTACTTATTTTACAAATATTATTAATATTGATATTATCTAAGTAAAAATAAATTCAACAAAAAGAATCTTGACTTTTGACTTTTGAAAAGAATGTTGACTTTTCTTAAGCAAATTTACGAAATATGATGAATACAATTTATTGCATATCAAAGATAGCAGCTAAACATTATATTCTCAATATCGCAAATTAATTTTATATTTTTTTAATATTTTTGTTTAATGATAACTGCTTTACAATAGTTATTGTTAGTTATTGTTTTCGGTCGGTTACAGTAAGTAATACCGAGAGATAACCGAGTGAAGTTCTCACAATCTAAAAGAAAATAATAATTCAATAAAATAACATCTAATACACACGTACACAAAATATACATATGTAATCGTAATCAATAAAGATTTTTTTTTATATTGCAGATATTAGAGATTAAATTAAATAATTTATGTTCTATGTAATCATTTTTACCGTACTGAACATTTGTAAAGAAAATATGCTGAATTTCCCAGCAGTTAAACAAAGAGGCCGAGTTGCCGATCTGCGCATGATAAATAGAAGATCTCTTGCTTCTTTCCCTGCCACATTAAACCAGTTCGATTCATACGCAGCAAATCCCATGTTGGTACTCTTAAATATTAGTTAATGCTTAATATTTTAATTATTTTATGTGATATGCGATTGTTAGTTTCTATAATATATCTTTTTCTCAATTTATTGATAACAAAAGCAATAGATTATTATTTTAGGTGATTATAGAGATATATTTTAGGTGATTATTTTAGGTGATTAATTAATTTATAGGTTGATTGAAAATTGAAGTTAATTTACAAATTGATGAATCACTTATATTATATTTTGCAAAGAAACAAGATGTAATGAGACAATTATACAATATATTTAAATAACTTACTTGCACGATTAGCTTCTCACCGATGTAACAATAAATATACAGATGAACTAAAATAAATGCTATATAACTGAGTAAAAAAATTAATTCAAAGGTTACCGATCCATTTTCTTCTTCGTTCATTAATATCTGAAATATTTTGTTACATACATTTTTGTATTATCTATTTTCTGAAAAAAATTTACGTATGTCATTTTGATACAAACACTTTTGCATTAGATAGAAAATTGGATAGAATAGAAAATGCGAAAGAATAATTATATGTTTTCGGTATTACTTACTCTAAAAACCTGAAATCCTTGAAAGCACAATTGTATAGTACAAGAAAGCATCTGTATTAAAAGCACCATATTAAAAGATTCCTCGATCGTTTTTGCAAACCTTAAAGTTATTCGCATTATTTATGATAATTATTATTATGATTGATATTTGAATGTAATAAGTGGCACTACTCGGCAGGTAGAATTTTAGACGCAATCATAAAAAAATATCGACAGTGGCTCCATCTGCGAATGAATCAATATCATGATCATGTGGCCTTACAACTTTTGACTGAAACATTTTTCCATATCTTCCATATTTTCCGAGATATTTTCATGTGAAATAAAACACTTTATACATAAATTAAAAAAAAGAAATTACTGGACACCTAAGATCCTGCCTGACAAATAATTTTATTACATTCTGATACTTTAAAATATTTTCCGCTTGTTACATTGATTTATTTAATTAATATTTTAATATCTAGCAATTATCTATCATAATAATAATTGTTTTTATATAAATCCATCTTATACGGTAGACAATTACGTTATAAAAAATAGAATGTACTTTAAAGTATTCCCACGTTACTCAAATTATACGAACCAGTTTAAATGCTCGTGTCTCTTTACGATTTGCTTCAGCTCACTTTTAAATTCCTTAGACGTTTTTATTCCACCCGGTTCGTTAGCGAGATTCTTGAGTCTGCCGTGTAAGTTTTGGAATTGGCCACAGGTGTGGAGCACCAGCATGGAGATGAAACTGTCACTACCGGTGTAAGAAACTGCCGCGGTGTAAGCCGATAGACACTGACATGTGGAAATCAATTCGAAGATTGGACGTGGAGTAATGTCAAAAGGAAAATAGGCCAAATAAAGCATAGGACGAGCCGGATCATTTCGTGAAAACTTGGCGACCATCGAGACTTTTAAAATTATGTAAATAGTCACCATGACTTGTGTCAGTATCGTACACCAGATGGATATCCTTCTGACAAGCTTAGCATTCTTCAGCATAATCGTTCTTTCCTCCGACGTTTTCGGCGAATGCCAATCTTGATAGAAGAAGTCGACCAACGACTTCAAAACTTCGGGCAGATGTTTTGGATTTTTGATAGTGTTCAAAGAGAATCAATTTTATTTGGTTTATTACTAAATATTGTTAATTAACAGCTCGTTATTTTGCATGATTGATATCCATAAGAATGAAGCTACTGTATGAAATAACTATAGAAGATAATTAAAAATATAGACAAAAAACAAAATTATTTTTTATTGCTGTTTCATAGAAATAAAAAATAAAAATAATAAATAAATAAATGATTAATTTATTTGTAAAATTAAATTTATGACAAGAAGTTAAATTTATGAGATAATTATACTTTACAAGAAGTTATTTTTCATATTTTTTAATAATTTTCAGTTTTTGTACCTTTTCTATAACGCCACATGGTGAATGCTTTCACAAAAGCAGTCGCAACTGGAATGTTGGCGGTCGCTAGGTTTTCAGTCATCAGGTTCGTATTACCCCAAATGAATACAAGATTCGCTGATTGCGGAATGCACATAAAGCCTAGCATGAAGAAGCTAGCTATCATGAAACGACATAAGGAGAGTCTCTTTTGCTTAGAATTTTCTAACGGATTAGGCCAGATGCCGACGATGTTCAAATTGTATCGATTCCATCCGATCGCAAAATTCAGATCTATGCAAATCGAACTTGTATTAAAAGTTGATAACAAACAAAATTATTTCAATCATTATTTGATATTAACAATATACCATTTTGACATAAAAAAATATTGACGTGATTCATAAAATAACAACGTACGGAATTTTTATGTAATTACAAATTACAACAATATATTTCTTAATTTTTTAAAACATTTAACATTTAACTGCGCACTATATTTTACAAATTATTTGGTGAATTTTTTTAAACAATCTCGGATCTTCTTCTCTAACGTTTGAATTTAGATATAATTATCTTCAAATGATGATTGTATTATCTATTAACAATTAACAATTCACAAGTGTGTATGCGTCTTTTTTCTCCGCACGTACCTTGATCAGCATCCATCGATACTTAACGGATATCGACACTGCAACGACTAAAACATTCTTACGGTCGACTTTTTCCCATCCCTTCTCTCAGGATCACGCATGCTCCGACGCAGAAGGTGATCTACCCTCCGTACGAAAGACTCTAAAATAGAACTAGAGAAAGCTACTATCTCGTACCGAACACTTCGCAACGTTTTCGATATGTTCGCTTATAACAATTTGTTAACAAACTATATAAATTTTAATCATTATGAATTGTTCATATTTTAAGCAAGAATTATTATTTAATTACTTAACATAGGTACGTATTATTTTAATATAACAAAATTAACAATTTTTACTTTTTAAATATCTAATTTAAAAATATCTCCTTAACTCATAATACTAATTTCTAAACAGAGGCGAAAAATGAACAATTTGAGAATAGTCGAATAATAATTTGACTTGTTGCGCAGAAAAGTGTATTTTTTTAGAAAGTAATGTTACAGGTAGTGCATATAAACCTGTTTGTTCAATTATTATAAAATTAATGTAATCACTTATATTAAATTCATTTCATTTTATATTATTTCCTCAGTTTTATTTTTCTTTAATCTCTTATCGTTAGTAAAGCAGATAAGTATCCCATTGATGTTTTTAATGCCTAAACATAAAAAATATAATTAAAATATCAGTTTTATATTTATTAATGATAATCATAATTGAATATCACGAATAAATTTTAATATATAAAATATATATACAATAAATATATATATAATATATATACAATATATATATATATATATATACAATAAAAATATATAACAAAATAGGAAAACGAAAACAATATTTAATTTAACAATTATAACAAGTATATTTTTAGACACACTATAGTTATCGACGGAAACAATATATTATATAACAACATAATATATAATATATTAAATATATATCTTACTTTTCCAAATAATTCCAATGAAAAAATTCCAAATTTCCCAGCCGTCAATCGAAGAGGAATCGTAGATCGATATATAATAAACATTAAATCCTTCGCGTCTTTCGCTGGTAGTTCGTACCACTTGCATTCAAATACGCCATACATCATTTTGGTGCTCTGGAAAATAATATTTTTGTTTTGCACAGATCTTATTATTGTATATGATAGTTTTACCTCCAATATGAGTCTTTCAGCTGCGTAGCAATATGCATATAAGTTCGTCAAAACAAGGGAGATATAAAATGAGAGAAAAATCATTCTTATAATGGGCACATGCATATTATCTGTTATTATCTGAGAATAATTAATAACATTAATAATTTTGAATAATTATAACATCATATTTTAATAATTATATCTGATAAAACAATATCTAGTGCAAATTTTTGTCGCAATATATTGTGTAATTATATCATAAGAAAGTATTAGTAAGAATGACGTACACATTCAATTCTTTTATTTTTTTAAATATGCGAGATAAAATGTATATTTTACTTACCGTAAAAACTTGAAAAGTTATAAAACACATCTGAAGAGTCGCGACTAATATGTGTATAAATAACACTATGCTGTAGCAGCCGTCGATTGTCTTTGCGTTCCTTGAAAATTCATACATTATTCACTCGTTACATATTATATATAATGACTTATTATTCGAATTTCAATACAGAAATTTTAAAAAAAGATTTAACTTTTGAAATTCTAATTTTGAATTTATAAGAATTCATGATTGAATATTCTTTATGAAGTTCATATTTCAATATGATAATCTTAAATTTCCTGTCGCTATTTAAAAGCACGGTATGTATTTCCGAAAAAAGAATAAGTCATGAGATATTTTTATGTAATTGTATCGTACATTCTTTTTTGATAATATATATATATATATATATATATATAGATAGATAGAGAAATGTTAGAGTTATTTTTAAAATTATATTTAAAAAATATCTGCTGTTTAAAAATATTTATAAATATTTATAAATAGCAACTTAAAAATCCAGCATACCTGATGAGATGCTCATGTCGTATAACGATCCCGGCCAAGCCTTTTCTAAATCTCGAGGAAGATATAGATTTGTTGGCTAATTCGTTGATCAGGTTATTGAGTGCCGTTCGTAGATTTATCAGTTGTGCGCACACATGTAGCACGAGTATCGAGACAAAGCTGTCGACAACGTAGTTAGCGAGAACCGAGTACATGCCGCCGGAAAGTTGAATAATATAAGTGATTTCGTAATTCGGACTATTCTGGATGTTTTCAAACCGATAGACGAGGTGCCGATGAGGCTGGTGTATATTTTTAAAGAATCTTGTAAGATGGAAAGAGAGGTAAAACGTAATTGTACCCATCGCGGCCACGCAACATCTAAAAGATAAGCTTCTGCCACGTCTTGCGATCTTCAACATGGTGGCTCGTTCCCAGTTGCCCTTTGAAGTTATCCAATCGGCCAAAATTGATGCCATCAGCGATCGAAGTGCTTCCAAATTGAACACGATAATGTTAATAAATTATCAAAGCAAAAAGGTTTCTGTACAGAATATTGTTGAACAATCACGAAATTTTATGCTCAAATGAAAAGAACATAGCTTTGAAACTTATATCACGAACAAGTAAAAGTGAATCTATTTGAGATTTTTGTATTGTCAAGCGAAAAAAAGTAACTTACTTTCGCCGTGATACCAGGTAATGAATAATTTGCACGCAGCCAACAAGCTCAAGTTTGCGGAGACAAAATTTTCCGCCATTCGAGTCACATCACCCCAAGCACGAATCACATTCAGCATTTGCGGCCCGAATACATATAGACTTATGGTACACGTAACAATAACAAATCTTATGCACGGCCGACGAAAGTCACTTAAAGAGATGTGCGGATCGGGCCATATGCCAAATACCCATAGCCATTGGCCAGTTAAGGAAAACATGTAATTCAAATCTAATAAAATTAAATTTTAGAAAAACACTTTTGTTTAATATTTATTTAAAACAGATAATCCGTTGTATCATTTTTTAATTTTTATTGAAAATTATCATTTATTTATTTATTAATAAATTTAGAAAGTATCTGATTTCTCATTTAGTTATATTAAAATGGCAATGAAAAGATTCATTTAGATTATTATTAAGTGATTAAATAACACTGTAGAATTGTATATAAAAGTACATATAAAACTAGTAAATATGAAAAAAAGAAGATAATATTTATTATTTGATTTAATCAAAATTAAAAATATTTGTAATTAAAAATATTTAGTAATAGTATTTTTTCACAATATCAAACGTATCTTTTTATATACATGGTTATATTGTTTAAACTTTAAATATATCTCTATAATTTTTTTTAAATTTTGTATTATTGCAACAAAAGATTGTTATTTTATTTTATTTTTAAAAGTTAAAGCTTTCAAAAAGTTTTTGTTTGTAATTAAAAATATTTAGTAATAGTGTTTTTTTTCACAATATTAAACGTATCTTTTTATATACATGATTATATAATTTTACACTCGAGAGAAACGAAGAATAATTTGCGCACAAGTAACCATTTACTTTATACACATCCAACTTTATCACTTAAAAACACTTTGTAAATCTGCACTTCGGAAACAAACATTTTTTCGCCAAAAAGTATAAAAAGTTTCGTATAAAAAGTTTTCTTGCAAACTTTTGTAACACAAAATTTAAGGGACCTATAGCCTCTTTGCAAAAAAGTTATGATCCTTTTTCGTGAATTTTTGCAATAAATTATTCAAAACGGACTATTCTGTCATTTGAAATAAAAAAAAATTTACAACATTAAAAAAAATATTATTACAAAAATATTATTAGAAATATATAATAAATTTATCTTTATTATGTAGCTTATTTTTTCAATAAATATATTTGATAAATAACATATTAGGTAACAAACAAAAAATATTATTTATTAGTTATAAGTTATTTAAAAAAAAGTTATTTTTTTTATTATGTTAATAATATAAAAATTAAGTAAAATGTAAGATAAGACAGCTACAGTAATTGTAATAAAATTTAAAAAATATTGAAAATCAAACATAATTATAAATTTAATGAATTTTCAGTTAACTCATTACTGCATGAATATCACATTAATAATAATTAATTTCTTTGAAAATTTTCTACTTAATTCAAATTGGAATAAAAATTTTTTATTAACACGTATATATGATAGAAAACCTGATGTTTATATGTTATATGTAGATATCATAGAACAAAATTAAATTTTTAGTAAAAATATCACGCAATGCAAACATTTCTGTTAATTCTTTTCTACCTTCGTTGATGTTCATTGATGTTCACAGCGTAAAATTTATCGTTTGACTGGATCGCTCTATGCGATTATGCCAAACCACTGTGATTTTGCGCTTGCTCAGTGCATAAAGGATTCACTACCATCTATCAGTACTTAAATAAACCCTTTTGAATAATAATCGATAGTAACACAAAATTAGCTAGATAATCGTAATAAAATATTGTAAATATTGCTTTTCCTTTTCAATTTAGTGTTGTGTTAATTGTTGCTTAACAGACATCTAAAATATGAAATTATGACAAAGGTGATAAATAAGCAATTCATTTTCTTGCACAAATATGTGTATTTGTTCAGTAAAAATTATATTACAACACATTTATTTAAATCTATTAATACAGTAAATAGAAAATTAAGAACGTGCAATTAATTTGACATTATTTCAGACATTATTCTCTTCAATCCATCAGTGTCAACAATGCAGATACGTATCCCATTGATGTCTTCACCGTCTATATAGAAAAAAATTAAAAATAAAATTAGCTTTGTCTTAAAGAGTAATAATAGCAATATATAATAGTAAACTATTGTACATATAGTAATAATAACATTTTTATTAATAATAATGTAATATTCATATAACGCTATTACATAAAAAAATATAATATTCAATATATAAATCAAATATCACGTATTTTTATTTTTATATTTTATTTTATATGAAAAACAGTTCTTTCTTATATAGATATCTTACTATTCCGAACATTTCTATCGAAAAAATTCCGAATTTTCCAGCGGTTAGTCTAAGCGGAATTGTAGATCGATGTATGATAAATATTAAATCCTTTGCGTCTTGGAACGATATATCATACCAGTTGCATTCATACGCAGCCCACGCCATATTGGTGCTCTGAAAATTAAATTTTTTTGTTTTGCATAGAGAAATTACATTTAATATGTATAATGTATGATGATTTTTACCTCTACTAAAAGCCTTTCAGCGCAGTAACAGTACATATACAAATGCATCAATACAAGAATAGCATAAAAAGAGAGGAAACACATCTTTATAACAGACACATTCAAATTATTTGTTATTATCTGAAAATAACATTTTTTTAAATTCAATATTTAAATTCAATATTTGTTTATAGTAATTAGTCTTATAATAAAATTTTAATACTGATGTAACGACCACATCTAACAATATAAGAGCATGAAAAAGATATAAGAGAATAAAAAATTCATTATTATATTTGAAAATTAAAATATATATTTACGTACCATTAAGATGCTTTTTATGCATAAAAACAAAACAGTTTGTCTTACTTACTGTGAAAACTTGAAAGGTTTCAAAACACAGTTGAAGGGTAATAGCTAACATATGCATAAGTAACACTGCGCTATAGCAGTCGTTGATTGTACTTGCATTCCTTGAATGTTGATAAATTATTTACTTGTTACCGACTTATTAATTTTAATTATATAAGTTATAAGTTTTAATTTAAAACAAAAAATTTAGAATCTTAATATCTAAAGTAGATTGTAGATCTCATATTTTTATTATTTATAATTGAATCTTTGGAATAACATATATAATTTTTTTAGAAATATTTTTTAAAAATCTTATCAAATCTTTTATTTATTATATGAATATATGAATATATGAAATTTATGGGGTATTATTTTATTTTATTTAAAAATATATCATAAATAAGATACTATAAACGTTTAAAAATATTTTATAGTGTTAAATAAAATCCAATATTTCTTTGCGTACCTGATAAGATGTTCGTGGCGTACAACGATCGCAGCTAGACCTTTCTTAAATTCCGAAGAGGATATAGATTCTTTGGCTAGCTCATCAACTAGATTTTTGAGTGCCATCCGTAGATTTATCAACTGCGCACATATGTGCAACAAGAGTATTGAGATGAAACTATCGATAGTACTCATGATCATGGCTGTGTATATACCGCCGAATAGTTGAATAAAATAAGTGATTTCGTAATTTGGGCTTTTTTGAATGTTGTAAGGATAGGAAAATGATACACGAGATTCCGTTGAGGTTCGTGCATACTTCGATAAAACTTCATGAGGTTTAGAAATAAATAAAACAAAACTGTACACGTTGAAGCCATGTAACATTTAATGGACAGGCTTCTACCACATCTCGCGAGATTCAACATTGTATTTCGTTCATGATTCTTCGAAGTCATCCAATCCGTCATGATCGATGTCATCAATGTTCGGAGCGCTTCCGGATTAAATATTATTATGTATTATTAATATAATATATTATGTACTAATGTTATGTAATAATATATCATGTATTAGTGCGAAAGAACAATATCAATAAGATATAAATTATCATTATAAAATTCATTATGAAATAATCTATCATAACAAAGCTGTTACTTATAATGACATTTTGAATTTAAATAATGAATTGAATCTTGACGTCCCTACTTACTCCATGATGTAAATTAATTTAATATTATGAATAATTTTTATTACAAATATCAGATGACAAAAAATATAGATGTAATGACTTACTTTTACCATGATACCATGTACAGCCTAACTTGCATAATGCCATCAAACTGAAGTTCGCAGAGGAGAGACTTTCCACCATCCGAATTACGTTACCCCAGGCAAGAATAATATTAGTTGTTTGTGGTATAATCACGTAAAAGAACAAAGTACACATAACGATTATAAATCTTATATTTGGCCAACGGATATCACTCAAAGGGACAAATGGATCGGGCCATACGCCAAAAATCCGTAAACATTGGTAACTTAGCGCAAATACGTAACTTAAATCTATCAGAATTAAATGTCATAAAGATTATTGTTAGCACTCTGTTTAGAAGAAAGATATTATTGCCGTATGTTTATTTTTTATCTCGTTTATTAGAAAAAATAAATTAATTTAAAAATTAAATTTGTATGTATGTATGTTTATTAATTACACGCATATATTGCAGCCATTCGAAGTAAAACATATTTTATTTGTATTATTTTTTTATAAATTGTTATAGAATATGAAATATAACTAATATCTTTAGACTCGTTTGGAATATCAAAATGACATAAAAAATAAATAAAAAGAAAAAATAATGTATTAATAATGTATTTTAGACAAATTAAAATAAAAAATTAAAATGTTTTTAATAATATTTAATATTTACGTAATAATATTTTTTTGTAATTATTATCATTATACATGCGTAATTATGACATTTAAAATTTATAACTTTCTTTAATAGATCTTCTTTTGTGAAATATTGTTTTATCAAAAAAGTAGTACTTTAATCGTATGTCGGTTTTTTAAAATTTAATATTTAATTTTTGACAAACTGTTTATTTCAGACAAAAAGAAAGAGAGATAAAGAACAGTTCATTTCAACGCACGTCAGCACGAGTATCCATTT